GATGTTTTTTTTTTTTTTTTTTCAGTGAAATTGTAATTGAAATACAGTAAATAATAAACGATCTGAATACAGAAAGTTTGTATGCCGGGCTTCGGATGAACAAAAAAAAAGAAAGAAAAAATAGATTCAACACATAGTTCAATTTGAACAGATATATATACAAGGGGAAGCACTAGAGGCAGTTGAGAAATATATATACCTAGAGCAACTCGTACAGACAAACACATCTAGTGAAGAGGAAATTAGATGATCAGTCTATTCTGGAGCGCCACAGAACCATACTAAGAAGCTCCTTGCCATTATGTTTAAAATAAAAAGTTTTTAACCAATGCATCCTCCTAGAAGCTGATGCTGGGAATTAGTTGTAGGGGTTATCTGCGCCCCCCCCCCTCCTTTAGATTGCAGGACCGTAGGAGCCAACGAGACCTAGGCCTTCGAGCTCCTGTTCCGCCACAGAGCAATTGTCATGTGACGTATGTCTTGTGCGGTAACACATTTGGTAGCGTTTTTCATGAATGTGCGAAACAAAGTCTTTTGCCCAAAACATTCACAAGAAATGTAGATAATTAAAAAAGTGTATAACTGATAAAACGTAAAAATTAAATCACAGGAGTAAATTAAAGTTATCATTAAATAAAAGGAAGATAAATACATTAGAAAGCTTTACTACGCTTGATCAATTATGTTATTGTATTTATACTGTACTTATCGGATATCAGGTTACATTAATATACTTATTAACTGACATATTTAGTTAGGAAAGCGAAATAAAAGGCAAAGCTCAATACCATTACTATCAAAAAAGCAAAAACACAATGAAATAAAAGCTCCGGAAAAATAAAAGTTACACAACACAAATACACGTATAAAGATACAAATAAAAATGACAAAATATAACAACGGCGGTTATCTGAGGGATAGCCGATCGCAATTAACGAGCCTGTGTTCGGTGTCTGTGCGCAACTCAAGCAAAGTGGTTGGCCCCACCTTATTTATTCAAACAAGGTCGTGCGCCAGATGTTCGCGCCTTTAGATTCATTTTCTAATTAAATGTCGTCTGCCTTCTCTGAATGATTCTTTAAATAATACAATTTTATCAGTAGATTGCCGTATTTTTTTAAATTAAAGGAGGTACAAAGAAGGAAAATACACAAAAAATAATATAAACACTAAAAGAAAGGAACAAACATACCTAAATTCAAATAAATGATAAAAATTATGTCCGTAGGCTAGCTGAAGGGTTTGGTGCCAAATGCACGTTGGAGATTTTCCATCGCCCTTGTCCGTCGCCATCTTGGGCGCCATCTTATCATCGTAACTACAAGGGCGACCTCCTGACGTCATCCCTCGCAGGCCTCGAGTGGGACATCGGGACATCGAGACATCGTTACCTCGGATATCTTGGGCCAAATCTCCTCAAAATATAAAAATGTCCAGGGCATCTCCATTATCCTCCAGCACCGTCTCCGTCAGGCGATACCTTCTGTAGCGCCTCCTTCTGGCCAAAACTTGTAATAATGGTCGTGGGGACTTTTTATGGGGGTTTTGGGTGATGGTGAGCGGGTGCGGGTCGCCGGAAGAGGCAGTAAGAGCGGCAGCTCCCTACATAGCCTAAGAGATCGGATGAGGGCAAAGTGTATCAGGGAACAGACAAAAGATATACTTGGAAGCATCAAAAAGAAAAAAATGGCAATGGGCAAGCCATATATGTCTTGATACAGGACGACAGATGGACAAAGAAGGTAACAGACTGGGCCACAGATAACATAAAGAGGCCAAGGACCAGACGAATGACAAGATAGCGTGACGAAATAACAAAATTTGGAGGGCAAGACTGGAAACAGAAAACGAAGACAGACAAAGATGGAAACGATTGGGAAAGGCCTACGTCGAGCAGTGGATCGATTCAGGTCGATGATTATGATATGTATATATATATTTACATATGCATACATATACATATATATACATGTTTATATTTATACATATATACATATATAAATAATGCACAAACAACAACACAGTCATATATATGTGTATATGTGTGTGTGTGTGTGTGTGTATGTGTGTGTGTGTGTGTGTGTATGTGTGTGTGTGTGTATGTGTGTGTGTGTGTGTGTGTGTGTGTGTGTGTGTGTGTGTGTGTGTGTGTGTGTGTGTGTGTGTGTGTGTGTGTGTGTGTGTGTGTGTTTAAATATAAATATATATATCATATATATACATACATATATATATATATAAATATATATATATATATATATATATATATATATATATATATATATATATATATATATATATATATAAACATATATATGTATATATACACATTTATATACTCATCTCTCTCTCTCTCTCTCTCTCTCTCTCTCTCTCTCTCTCTCTCTCTCTCTCTCTCTCTATATATATATATATATATATATATATATATATATATATATATATATATACAAACACACACATATGTGGGTGGGTGCTTCATGCATAGGGTGATGTGAAGCTATGGTGTGCTAGCCTCGATAGTGCTAAGTGCTCACATGCCTTCTCCTTGCAGCTGCCACTGGCTAGCTTAGTGCGA